CTGCTTAAAATATAAAACAGAAATTAACTTCCATATAAATAAAATCTTTAATTTTATAAATTGAATTATTTAAATTTATCTATAATATATATCACATTAATGTATGTTATTATATATTATTACTGTAATTGATTTTAGTTTCGCCGTCAAACAAACATCAGAAAATGACGTCTCGTGGATGTGACATATCAACATCATTTTCGGGTCTCATGAGACCTAACTTTAGGATATCTAAGTGGTCATTTTGTGATCAAAATTTATCGTCATTATGACGTCAGTTTGCTACTTGGGATATGTTTCAGAAATATTTCAATAATATTACCGAAATATTGCTGAAATCTTTTAGCAAGGTTGCATTTGAACTGGTTGCGGACATTGAAACATTGCAGAAACGGTCGTGAAATATTTCTGTAATATTGTTGAAAGGTGTAATATTTCAAATGAAATATTGCAGCAATGTATCAGAAATATTATATGCCAAGTGGGTTTACAACCGATACTTCACACACTTTGACCATGTTTCACAGAATAATGATATCTGCAAAGATGAGGAATTTAATAAAAGTACATAAAAATATTTAATGATAAAATTCTCAATCGACACATACATATATAAAATTAAATAGAAATAGTACAGGTTATGGTATGATATAACTCTACACAACGTGTATATCTAAAATGTCTTAAAAATGTCTCAGAGATATTTAAAACGTTTTTTTTTAGAAAATAACATTACAAATATACTTTTTTCTCACTTACGTTACGCCGGTTGCGGTTAGTTTGCACGTAGGATTCACTACGGGACCAACATGGCGGTCAGCCAATCAGCGAGCGAGACGCTATTGCTTCTCTGATTATTTAGGACTAATCACATAAAGGGATTCATGGCAACGAAAAGGCCGATGAAATGGCCAGACGAGCAATTAAAGAAGGTATGGCTAATAATTTTAGGGTTCCATATTCCGATCTCTTTTCTATTCCCAAAGAAAAATTAGATTTTGATTTTGATGAATATATAGAGTATTGAGCACGATTTAAAGGTATCGCATTCTTTAAGAAAATCTACCAAAAAAAGTAGGAAACCATATCACACAAATCTTACTAGAGAAACTATTGTTACGATCTCCCGTATGCGAGCTAATCATTATAATCATTATAATCATAGTTTGTTTCGGAAAAAACTTAATCGAAGATGAGTCCTGTTCGTATGGATATCCCTTTCAGGACATCAATCACGTTGTATTTCATTACCCCAATACGCGAAATAAATCGTCACACCTGAGAATCGCTATTGCGAACTTGACTGATCCTCGGACTGATAACCTTTCCGATATCTCAAAAAATCCGACAAATAAAATATGTAGATTAATTATTGCCTTCTGCAAAGCATGTAATATGAATATTTAAAATTCCCGCCGCGCTACGTGGATACTCCATGGGTGCGTTCCGTTTCACGCATTGAGCGCATAGATCGCCTGGAAATCTATAGTTCACGTAATATATATTATAGATTTCCAGGCGATCTATGCGCTCAATGCGTGAAACGGAACGCACCCCATGATACAGCACGTTTCCTCTCCCTTGACCACCATCCTATATCGGAGTACACCCAGCACACCTCTCAGTTTCGGCACGCATTTCTATTATGTGATCTTAAATTACTGACAAGTTCACCGCGTTGAAATCTTTACATACCATATTATGACTATGAAAACATAACTGTACACACTGTACAGGGGAATATTCTCATTTAACGCCACTTTTGATCACATTATACGCAAAATTCTGGCCGTATTGACCCTCGTTCGAGCAGGAGCTATTCAAGAAAGAAGAAGAAGAAAAAGGGCAAATTTTGAAGAAGCCTAAATAGCCATAAAGAAGAAAAAACATACTGATATTGGAGATATCATGAGAAATAGCCTTCGAAATAATAACGAGAAGTGTTAATTTGTTTATAGTTTAATTATGTCAGTCACGGAAATTTTGTAAAAAAAAGTTACAACTATGTGCGACAATATAAAGGGTAATCCATTCGCTGGGTTATTTTCCACGGATAATGATGCTGTCTCATTCTCCTTTCAACATCAAACAGTTGCTGATGAAGGTAGCAATACTAATTACACAGGTCAATTGTCGGACACGATTAATGATAAATCTGAAAATGAAGAGGCAGAATCCAGAATTTTGGACGACAAAGTCCATCAGCTCATGGCACATGTATTTGGATTAACGCTGCGTCGAGATAGCGATAGTCCTGCACAAGGATCTCTGGTGTTCATTGATGCTGATTCAATTGAACATGCTGTCTTCGAGCGCTTGATGTTATCAGATCCCAAATCTACAGTGAAAAATATTGTACAAGATGCCGATGACCACATTGTTCAGACACAAGTTATAACTTACCTTTATGAATGTTATTGTCGATTAAAACATTATCAGATTAATAATGATTTGGAACATACTATAAGAAATGCTTGCCAAATTGTATTGAGAAATGTCAATACAGCTTTACAGGAGCCAGACTTGTTCCAATATCAGGAGGTATTTTATATTTTCTTGATAGAACAATATAATTCTGTGAGAAACATCTTTTAAAAAACAATTCTTGTTAAAACAAACTATATTAGCAACATGTACTGGGTGATTCAAAAGATTATTGACAAACTTCAGGAGCGTATAAAGGGATTGAAATATAGCAATCTTCGAGTAGGAACCCATTAATTCTCTGAAGTAATCCTGTTTTGGTACAAATCTGATTTGACGCCTCTTGATTACTCCTTTTGGAAGCATATCAAAAGCCTCGTTTACGAGACACTGGTGGACGATCCAGAAACACTTGTAGCCAGAATACTTGCAGCATCTGACATGCTCCGGGAGATGCCTGGAGTATTTGAGAAAATATGCCAGAGTTTCATTTGACAATGCAATGCCTGCATTGAATGTGGTCATCACTACTTTGAACACTCCTCCCTCCCTTTTTGTAATATTGTACGGTATTATTGTATTCATATAACCTTTGTTTAGTTATTAAATTTTGTACAAATTAAGATTATTTCTCTCATTGGCATGTTGTCCACAATGTAGTTCCTTACATTCAAAGGCTTGTACCAACTCAGAATTACTTCGGAGAGCATGAGTTCTTATTCGAAAGTTGCTATATTTCTATCCTTCTATACGCCCTTGAAATTTGTCAATAACCTTTTGAATCATCCTGTATATTATAATAATTATATATTTATTATTTATCCAGGTTCACAGTCAATTTGTTGCTTTATTTACGGATGATATTACATCAAAATCAGAATTACCATCATTTGTTAATGGTATAATAGAAGAATTGATAGTGGCAAATAGAGAAAGCGATATAGAAGATATAATTATAATGTCATTTGCTCCTGTTCTTGACATTGTTCATAAGGAGGCAGCTCAAAGTAATCTGTTTACTTTTCGTCAACAGTGGTTTGTTTTACTGCATATATTTTCCACTATTGAATCATTGGCAAAGCTGATAATTTGTCATAGCAGACCGAAAAATAATCAAGGTTGCGCATATTCAGATACATTATTAGGTGCATTCTTCAGCATAAGCTGCTTACCAAAAACAGCTAAAAATCCATACGATCTGTTCGATAAACCTCTACGGCAAGTACGGCAATTTTTTTTTATTAGTGGAGTAGTATTTTAAATTACAGAATTTTTACTTTATACATTGTTAAAATATCACAGCCAAATACAATCATGGAAGGTACCATATGGATAGCTATGAATAGCCTAAGCGAACAGTTACACAAAGTTTTTCATTCCTTATTGAAGTGCTCGACAGAAGTTCGTCATTTAACTCTGCATTGGCTGAGCAATTGTCTTCATACAAATGCAAGTAGAGGAAAACTTTGGAATTCTCACATGGAAGTGGGATTACTTGGGGTATTATGTGTGTCGGATGGTTTCATGCTGAATGTGAGCAATGTATTGCTACGTCTTTGCCAACCATTTTGTGTCAAATTTAATGATACCAAAATACCAAAGATAGATCCTACATATTGCAGTGCTGAGGTTGGTTTTTGAAAGTTTAACAAAAATTACATAATATTTATATACACTGACACATAATAGCAATGCCTGAAATAGCAAAATAAAGTATAGATGAAATGATATCATTACAGTCTTGAATGGTTTGAGAGTGAAATGGAGACGTTGCTATTATGTTATTAGAGTCTTATGCTATTATAAGGTTTCAATGTATAATGATTATTGTCACAAGCACTAGTTTAAATGTTGAATCTATATTTAATATATATACATATATTTAAGTAAATAAATGTGCTTCATTAATGCTATCATATATTTTTACATTTTTAGGTAAAGAATGAAACTGAGAGTTTACAACGTGGTATACATATGAAAGAATTGAGTTCAGAGACATGTTTGATACCAACTCCAGAAGGAGAAAATCGACCAATAGCACATTCATTCGGATTTGTAACAGAATGTTTTTTTCTTACACATCGTGCATTAGATCTTGGCTATAGAGTTATACTCGATAAATTTTTAAGGTATGGAAAAATAATTAGTCCTATAATTTCTTAAATAACTTAATAACATTGCAAAATATTTTATCATTTTTTATTCTGTAGGACAAATCAAGATTTGGCTAGGATACAAAGAGCTTACAACGATGCTCGAATCGGTGGTAGTTCAGAAGTGCTAGAGCTCATAACACAGCGAATGGAGACCGAGATGATAAAGTACATATAAACATATTATATATTATTACATATTACATATTACATATTACATATACATTTTCGATTTTTCTTTCATACATTATCATGCTTTATGTGTTATATTATAGATACTTGTCTCTTAAAGCGAGCCTTTTAATGCCAGAAATGTTGGAACACTTGGCAAAATTTCATGCAATGACAGCATTTTGGTTGATACAAATAAACTTGAATGTCGTAACTGATGAAGAAAACACGCAAAGCTTTGCGCCAAAGCAATATATACCAGTTACATTCCCATTACCAGAGACTGTCCCGATTACACTAAGGTACGAAATATACAATACTATAAATGCAACAAACAACTAAAATTGATAAGTTCATCTCTACAGGTGCATTCCCGAGTTCGTGGTAGAGAACACTATTGGATTCTTATGTTTTTTACGTCGCTTTAGTCCGAACACATTTGAGGAGCAGGGTTCCAGTTTTCTAAATCCGATTTTGACAGAAGTAAGTAAAGACATAATGAGCAGTACATCATCTTCGCGCAATTATTAAGTTTATATGTCGATTCCTTTAGATTATAGTTTTGATGGAGTCTCAACATCGTTTGTACAATCCACATTTGCGCGCTCGTTTAGCCGAAAGTCTGGAGGCACTTTTGCCGATTGCAGATGAAAGCGTTGTTCCAGCAGTACCCAACTTAGGAACATTCCATAGAGAACAATTGTTTCTTTCTCATCCATACAGACAACAAGTAAGCAGTATTCTACACATATGTAGAGTTCACTAACAAGCAGAGATAAAAAAAATCGAGTTTTTTAAAAATGGGGGAAGAAATTAAGTAAAGAACCAGTATTTTTGGGTAAAAGGACTGTTCTTTTGGTAATTTTGAAAGATAGTACTAGGTTTTTTGGAACAAAAGATGGTATGAAAATTAAATTAATTGTGTTGACTGGATCAGTAATCAATTTCAATGAATGTGACTGAGTTGATTACTACTTCGCATTTGTTTAATCAGTTGAGTTCGAATATTTTAAAACAAGTTATTTTTGATTTTTATAATTCAATGATATTTTTTGATGTTCTTTATTTTTAAAGTTTCATGAAAGTTAGAAGAAAGCTCTCTCAAGCATAGTTAAACTGTTGTTATTTTTGTTATTTTGTGGACTGCAATGAGAATAACATAAGACATGGAATCTGATATTTAATTTTAGTAAATTTGATATTCATTTTCCAAATCCGTGCATCATAGATTAATAAATAAGCACCAAAATTAGATTTTTGCTATAAATTTTTGAAAATGGACATTCTGAGTAATTAATGGGGTGAAAAATCCATTTTTGGAAGAATAAAAAACAGTTTTTCACCGACTTTTTTACCTAAAGTTTCTGTTTTTTTATTACCCTTTTAATCTCTACTAACAAGAGATGTATGTGCAGTTAACTTCTTTCTCTCATATGTTGTTGATTTGAAAATAGATAATTCCTAATTTGCTGCATGTATTTGTAAGTATCGAAATGACGGGGCAGAGTGTACAATTTGAGCAAAAATTCAATTATCGTCGCCCGATGTATATTGTAATGGATTATCTATGGAAGCTCGATGAACATCGTAGCACTTTTATGTATGTAAAATTATGGTATTTAATCACTATTTTCATTCTATATTTATAAAATTCGGCACCAGAAAGATGAAACACATTTTATTTAATTATAATGTGCCAGTGCTTTAGCTAAAGAGGCAGAAAACAACATGGAAGCAGTTCAGCCACCACTATTCTTACGTTTTATTAATCTATTAATGAATGACGCTGTATTTCTCTTGGATGAGGCCTTATCAAATATGGCACAGTTAAAACAAATGCTCCAAGCTAGGTATTTCTAAAAATTATATGATATATGATTTTCTTCTATTATACATTATCTTTTCTAAATCTATGGAATGCTTTGTAAAATATTTGCATTAAATATGTAAATGGCTCCGCTTTTTATAAATAAAAGGGAAAGCGGAGAATGGAATAAACTGCCGCCAAATGAACGTGAACAGCAGACAGGCTATCTTCAACACATTGGTATGATTGCCCGTTTTGATAATATTCTAGGCAGAAAAACTATACAAACAATAAAAATGTTGACTACTGAAATAAAATCAATCTTTTGCCATCCAACCATGGTGGATCGTATTGCTTCTATGCTCAATTATTTATTATTACAATTGGTGGGGCCAAATAAAAAAAATCTCAAGGTAATTTTTAAAGATTTGTGAATATTATGTTAAAAATGGTGTCATAATTTATTGTAATTTCACATCTATGAAATCTAGGTGAACGATCAAAAAGAATATGCATTTAATCCTGCAAATTTGGTGCTGAATATATGTGAGATCTACATTAATCTGAGCAAAAATGAAAGCTTTACACTAGCCGTGTCGCAAGACGGACGTTCTTACAGTCCAGAACTTTTTAAACTTGCTGACAATGTGCTTGGTAAGCATTTCTACATTTTTCCTAATATTATCTGCGATTTATCTATGCTAGGCGAATAAAAATGTAAAAATACATTTTTTTTTAATGTACATACGTCATAGTTCGTATTGGTGGTGTGGGAATCTTGGGAAATTTGGATCAATTCGCAAAGAACGTGGAAAAGGCTGCAAATCAAAAGCGAGAAGAAGATGAAATTTTGATTGGTATTCCCGACGAATTCTTGGATCCAATTATGTCAACCGTTATGACAGATCCTGTAATTTTACCATCATCAAAAATAACTATCGATCGTCAAACTATAGCAAGGTTAATATGCGAAATATAATAAAATATTAACATACATTAATACAAAATATTATATATGTCAATATATTTCAGACATTTATTGAGTGATCAAAGTGATCCTTTTAATCGATCTCCTCTTACCATGGACATGATAAAATCAAATATCGAACTTCAACAGAAGATACAAGAGTGGATCTCGCAAAAGAAACGAGAAAAGTTAAATGCTGATACATAATTTATCGTCAATTATTATTACATTACAATGGAACAATGTTAAAACATACGCGATCTTTGAGATCAACATTTTAAGGCATCAAAAACAATACATATCGATGATAATAAAAAGATTGTCGAAGAAAATCCGATTTTACGGCAATCACCAGTTTGAATTGATAAATAATAGAACTTTGATATATACTTTATTGTTTTACATTGTTGCATTGGAATCTTATCGTTCGCTGATGTTCGATTTGTCGATAATGATAGACAAAATTTTGTATACAAATTTGGCAAATGTAATTATGTACAGGATTGTAAACTAGTTTAGAATTACAATTATTTTAATAGCAATTCATAATCGAGATAAAATGTTATACACATAGATGGCACACAAAGAAATTGCTATTTCTAGAATTATTGTTTATTATATTTTACGTATTGTATAAAATAAAATATATTATTTATGAATGACATTTTTCAAACGATGTCAACTTTAATTTATATAGTTTAATTCCTAGAGACATACACACAAATCAATCTGTTAATGGCAATAATTTTTTTCTAATTCAAGGCTCTTGATTCTTCCATGACGTTATATTAAGTAAGTTATAAAAGCAAAAACAAGAAACTATAAATTTTTTTAAAATCAGATATACTGAAATAAATAATTATATATATATATATATATATATATATAGTGTCCCACAATGGAACAATTCGGAGGGAATTGTTCTAGAAGTAGAGGGGGAAGATTTTCCTTCAGGGCCTGGCAGCTAAGTATGAATGCCAATCATGATATTACACCAGG